CCCCCCCCCACATTATACATGCTAATCATAACACCTTCTTTCTCTCCTCCCCCACCCCCTTCCCTCCCATCCTCCCCAGTCCCTTTCCCTTTGGTAACTGTTAGTCCATTCTTGGATTCTGTGACTCTGCTAATGTTTTGTTCCTTCAGTTTTTCTTGTTATACCCCATAGATGAGTGAAATCAATTGATACTTGTTTTTCTCTGCCCGGCGTATTTCACTGAGCAAAATAGCCTCTAGCTCCATCCATGTTGTTGCAATGGTAGGATTTGTTTTCTTCTTATGGCTGAATAATATTCCATTGTGTATATGTACCACATCTTCTTTATCCACTCATCTGCTGATGGACACTTAGGTTGCTTCCATTTCTTGGTTATTGTAAATAGTGCTGCGATAGACATAGGGGTGGTGTATGTGTCTTCTTCAAAGTGGGCTGCTGCATTCTTATGGTAAATTCCTAGAAGTGGAATTCCTGGGTCAAATGGTATTCCTATTTTTAGTCTTTTGAGGAACCTCCATACTGCTTTCCACAGTGGTTGAACTAATTCACATTCCCACCAGCAGTGTAGGAGGGTTCCCCTTTCTCCATAACCTTGCCAGCATTTGTTGTTGTTTGGATTTGTTTTTTTTTTTTATCATCAAAGGCTGCTGGATTTCCTCAACTGCTTTTTCTGTGTTCGTTGAGATGATCACATGGTATTTGCACTTTATTCTATAGATGCAGTGTATTATATTGATTCTTGCCTATTGAACCACCTTTAAGTTTCTGGGCTAAGTCTCACTTGATTGTGTGAATGAATCCATTTAATAGTCTGTTGGATTAAGTTTGTGAGTATTTTGTGGAGGATTTCTGCATCTGTACTCATAAGAGACTGGCTGGCACTTTTCACTTCTTGTGATGCTTTTGTCTAGTTTGGTGTTGGGGTCACACTGCCCTGCAAGAGCGAGTTAGGAAGCGTTCTCTCTGTCATGGAAGAGTTTGAAAGGTATCGGCTGCTTACTCTGTGTTCGACGGGATTCAGTCATGAAGCCATCAAGTCCTGGGTTGTTCTGTTTTGATGACTGATTTGATATGTTTGTTACAAGTCTATTTAGAGTTTCTTTTTCTTTTTGAGTCAGTTTGGTAGTTTGTGTCTTTGCAGGAATTTGTCCATTTTATGTAGATTATCTAATTTCTTAATGACCCAGAAAATGTAACAATGAAAAGTAGAAACAACTCAAATGTCCGTCAGCTGACAAATAGATAAACAAAATGTATACAGCAGAACATTATTTGACCATCTAATGGGGTGAAGCACTAACATATGGTACATCGTGGGTGAACCTTGAAAACATGGTAGTAAGTAAAAGAAGCCAGTGAAAAGAGACCATATAGTTTGTGATTTCAGTAGTGTGAAATACCCTGAACAGGCAAAGCTAGAGGCAGAAGGTGGACAGCTGGTTTCCTGGGCTTGGAGGGACCAGGTACCGGGGTGATGGCCATAGGACATGGGGTTTCTCTTTGAGGTGAGAAACATGTTCTAAAATTCATTGTGGTGAGAGCCGCACGTACCAGGGAATACACTGAAGTCCGTGAACGGTGCTCTCAGTGCGCTGACACATGGTGTGCGGACAGTGTCTTAGTAAAATTCTTTTTTAAGGACTTAATGTTCTTTTATATTTCTTAAAATTGGTGGTAATGTCCCCATTTTCATTCCTGGTTTTAGTAACATGGCCCACTTTTTTTTGCCCTCTTCCATCTAGATACAGATTTGTCAGTTTTGCTTACCTTTCAGAGTGCCAACTGCTGATTTCTGTGATTCTCTTTCATTGTCTTTCTCTTCTCTAACTTATCTCCTCTCTAAACTTCATTTCCTTCCCCCTGCATTCTTTGATTAAGTTTCCTTTTCTTTTAATAGTTCCTTAAGTTGGAAGAAGGGGTATTGTTAGACGCCTGTTGCTGATTTCTAATTTCATTCCACTGTATTCAGAGAAGATAATTTGTTTGGTTTCTGTCTTTTAAAATTCATTGAGTCTTGTTTTGTTGCCCGATCTGTTGTGTGTCCTGGTGAATATGCCTTTTATATTCTGCTGTGGCTTTATGGTGTCTTCTCTGCATGTGTGCTGTGCCTCGCTTTCCGTGTTGTTCAGGTTCTCTGTCTTTATTCTAGTTGATTTGCCCTTCACGGGAAGTGGTGTCTTGAGGTTGCCGTCTATTGTTCAATTGTCTTTTTCTTCTTTCACTTCTGTCTGCTTTTGCTTCATGTATTTTGAGGCTCTGTTGTTAGTTGCTTACATGTTTATAATTGTTATATCTTTTTGATGGATTGGCCCTTTTATCATTCTGTAATGTCCTTTTTCTCTTGTAACACTTTTTGTCTAAAAGTGTTTTATCTGATAAAAGCATGTCACTCTAGCTCTGTTGATTATGGGGTTTGAATGGAATATATTTTTCCAGTAATTTATGTTCAGTTTGTTTGTATCTTTGGATGTAAAGTGGGCCTCTTGTAGATAGCATGTTGTTTGTTGGGTTTTAGGATTTTTCCTATGTAGATTTTTCTACCTTTGGTTCTGCCCTGGATAGTGACAGGATTTAAAAGTTACTCATTACCTATCTCTGGCTCGGAATTCTTGCATCTATAATAGGAAAAAGATGGTTAGATACCCTGCATAAAATGTTGTGTAGTGTGCCAGTTGCTGATATGGACAAATGACGTTTTTCTTATTAAGGACTTTAATTATTTATTTGACTGATTTTGAAGTGGAGTAAGATTGTAATAAAGTAGCTTCATAAGCAATACCTGGCTTCTCAAATGGCAGGTGTTTTGTATAAGAGGCTGATTTTCACACCGAAGTATTGTTTTATATGTAAGTACAGTTGTATATTCCCAACATTTCTTACATTAGTGTCATCACTCATTTTTTACTTCTCATTCATTATGAGTAATTTCTAATAACTCAAGCTGAAGATTGCTATCATTAATTATTTCCATCTTTGTCTTGGTTGCATGTATTTTATCCAACTTGTGCTTCGTCTACTTTTGTCTTTTTGTTTATTTTTATAGAATAAAGATAGAACGAAGTAAATTAAACCTGCTAGCCAGTACCCTACAGGCTGTCATCGGAGCCCCTTGGTCTGCTCTGGGTGGTTCGAGTAGGTATCAGTGCGCGGTCTCTTCAAGCCTAACGCTTTTGGTGTGCACACGGCCTACCCCTCTTCTCTCTCCGAAGTGTCAGTCTAGCAGTCTTCATTTTGCAGATGCGGAGGCAGATTTTCAGATTAATCAAACCTCTCACTCTGGCCCTTAGAATAAATTTCACCTCATTGTCCTTAATCTTGGTTCCTCATGTGGAGAACCACTCCTTGGAGTTTAAGGGTAACTTAAGAGTATCC